GTTTGGGAAGACATAGATCCTCGGGGCCCGGTCGGTTCTTCGGATTTTTCGGCGGTTCGGTCTGCTTCTGTTAGGTTTTTTCGGGTTTATAGGGGACGGGGTTTGGGTCCGGCTTTTCGGGCTTTGAGAGTCATGAGGTTTAGGTTTAGGGCTTGTCGGCTACTGGGCTGAAAGATGTCAAGATCACCCTAAACCCTAAACCCTAAACCCGTTTTAGGCACGGACTTGCAGTGCAAACCCTAAACCCTAAACCCTAACCCTTTGTCCTGTTGCTTTGGAACCCTGGGCTTGTGAGCTGATAGGCGTCTTTCGTGCACACGTACGCTTCGACAAAAGGCATCCCCAGATGATACGAAGGACATGTCAGTACTGCCGAATTGCACTGTGCTATTCATCTTCTGAAAGGCTCTAAGAATTCCGAAAGCCGAAACCCAGACGCACACCGAAATGTGCATTGTGGTGAACACCGGCCCCACACACGGTTCATCAAGCACGAAGCCGCATGCTGTAACCCCAGACCCCGATGTCACACAAACGACATGCACAACCGCGCGCTCGTCCCGGGAAATTGCACACCCTGACATCAAAGTCTACCCCGCAGATGCCGCGGCCACTAACCCGAGAAATCATCACTGACAACGACAACAATAACAGAAGTCATAGTCATACTGAAGATTATGATACCGACAGTGTGGCAGAAGCCAAAGACATGGCCACTCTGAGCGGACACTGGAGACTTCCGGTTATCACAACTTCGGATATGCACCACAGACGTCCACGGTTCAATGCCGAAGCCGGCTGGGACCCCCAAGTAGGTCCTGAACTCCAAAACTCAACTAGAAGCCATCTATACTAAAATAAAAGCCGTATGCAGATCTCACAGCTTCCTTAAGCCCTAAACCCCCAATAGGATGCGGGCAGAAATCCACATCCCGAACCTCCAGAAGCAGACCCATGACCTAAAAACACCACTCCTTCCCTGCAAGAGCTTCGGCTTGAGGCCTAGCCCGAACCCTACAGGCCTTACAAAAAACGGTAGGCTAGACGCAAATTTAGAGGGTATTACAAACTGAGATACTGGAACCCCATGACTGTAGGGCCTGACCAGCCCAAACAATAGACTAAGAGGATTATGGAGTGCAACCCTATGTAACCTAAAAAATGTGTGCGTTTTGGTCCACATGTCAAGCAGCAGCTGCACGGGCGAGTCTTTCGGCTGCGGCTCAGAGAGGGCACCTGTTCGGGTCGCGGGCGTTTAGAGTCTAGGGTTCAGTGTTTAGGGCTCAGTGTTTAGAGTTCAGGGTTTAGGGTTTAAGGTTTAGGGTTCAGTGTTTTAAGGCTCAGAGCCCAGAGTTTCAACTCCAGAAGTTTCAGAGTTGGAACGTGCGGCCTCAAGCCAAAGGCATCAGTGTTGAATACACGGTTCAGGATCAAAGATAGGGCCTTGACAACTAGAACAGGGCTTTGGGACGGTATTGTAGTAGACTTTGAAGGACATGGAGGGACTGTTAGGTGATACTTGCTACAAGATATTAAAAGACCTGAAGCCTCTGAACCCTAACCCCTCGAAAACCCTCATGCCATTACAACCCTTGCATAAAGGTTCAGGGGATTCAATACCTTAACCTGGCTTATTGGTCCGTATTGCTTTAGCTATCTTAACTTATAACCCTACTAGCTTCGTCCTCTTATACCTAACCCTGCACCGAAAAAATCCGAAGCCTAAGTAAGTATGTCTTGTACGGGCCTTATTAATAATTAGAATACGGCCTTGAGGCATATTATACTATAATTATAAGAAGGAACCCCCCAAAATTGGAAAGGTAATGATTAAGGCCCCTATACTAACTCCGAGGGTCCCCACAGCAGGCAGGGCTCACGACTCAGTCCTCTAGGGCTTGCGCTGAGGGAAAGGAAGGTTAAGGGACTAGGATGTAGGGTTAGGGTTTACTAGGCAAGGGGCTTTTAACCCTAAGCCCAAATTCCTGAAGGTTTACACCCTAGTTTAGGGCTTTGAGATTAGGCTTAGACTTTTAGCTTCCGGAAGCAGAACCCCAAAGTTTCACGAACACTTCCCAAACAAGCTCAAAACAGATAAACTCGCATCCCAACAGCCCCAACAAGCTCCTTAGCAAAGGACCTCTCAAAAAGCAGAGAAAGCCATACGTCAACACCGAAAACCCTTAACCAGGGACTGACAAAAGTCCCTAAACCCTAAACCCAAAAAGCCTCAAAAAGGGGACTGACAAAAGGAGTTCTAGAAAGTCGCCTCCATGGTGTAAGACGATCTGAGCTCCCTCGCTTCTCTGCATCCATTCCAGTCGCTTTGTCTGGCGGCGCAAGTGGGGTGTTTGGGTTTAGGGTTTAGCGTTTGGGGCTTAGGGTTGTAGCTTTCGATTAGGTTTGGGGTTGAAGGTTCTGCATGGAGGCTCCAGCAGCTAGCAGATTCGGGCTCGAGGTTGGGTTGAGGAAGACTCACTATCATACGGTTTCGGGTTAAGGGATAAGTGTTTGAGGGTTCTCTTCATCTCCACATTACCTGGTTATGGCTGCGTCTGTAAGTCCCTATTGCCACTATTGCCAGCAGAATTCCGCAACAAATGGGGCAAGCAACAGCAGCAGCAGTCGTCGTCGTAGGTAGTACAGTCTATAGCAGCAGCAGGAGCAGTAGTAGTAGCTACCGTCGTGAGTGTTTGGGTTTGAAGTTCGGGAATTCGGAGACCCGGCTAGTCACTGATCCCCGAAAGCAAAGCAATCAGAGCCAGCCTTCCAGTATGTCGGCGTCCTTGGCGGAGTGCATCTAAGAGCAATAAAACATGGACAACAACAAGGAAAGACTTACGGTTGTATACAGTATACACCACAAAAAAGGCAAGGGTATACAATGGTATATTCAGATATATATATATATAGGACAATATAGGGCATATACCGCATAGTGACACAATATATACATGTCGACAGGCATGCAGGCGCACAAACAGACAGGTTGATATGCTTGCAGTGGAGCCTTTCTGCCCGTGCAAGGCTGACCATGGCATGGGTGGCTAAGATCCAGGTGAGACCCCTAATTACACCCAAATCGTGGGCCTGAATATGTAGAATGGGGGCTAGCTAGAAGCAGGTACGTTACTAATCATTCCTAAAGCCGCTCAACAAGGTTATGGAGCCCCCGGAACCGGCTATAGTGCATGCTGAACCCATGGCAAACCTAGCCTGCAAGCAACTGTAAGGATGCCAGTCTGCACCCCAGCGACGACAAACTCCTATGATGTCCTATACAAAACCTCTAAAATAATGCATGCCACCACTCACAAAGAAGAATGACCCTCTGAATCCCATGAACCCTAAAACCCTAGACCCCAAACCCAATGAGGGTCCAAGTACCCAATAACCATATGCTCTTCTCAAATATAAACTATCCGTGACCCAAGTAGCTAATTCTTGGGTCCTTTGGACCTCTAGGGTTAGAGCCCACGAGGATCTTCAGTCATGGCTCCAGTGGAAGGCCGGAGAGTCCTTCGGCACGACGACTTGCAAGCTGTACCTTTCAGCACATGCGGCCCCCATTCACACAAGGGGCCTTACTAATTTGAATAGGGTTTTGGGGTATATTATACTATAATTATCATAAGGAACCAACCAAATGGGGTAGTTCTCTAAAATCGGGTCCCGTTTTCCGTGCCCGGTTGTGGTGCGGCACCCTTATGAGGGGGCACTAAAAGGGATCTTAATTTAGAGAACCACCCATATGCACTCTCTAGAGGCTCTAGAGGTTTCATTGAGCAAACCACTGAAGGAGTTGCAAAGAACTTCTAACCATCATGGATCTATAAAGGATCACAGAATTCTGAGACCACATCCCTTTTCAACAGACCCTAAATTTTGAACCCTCTAATTCAGCTTTGAGTTTTTGGGTTTTTGTTTGGCTTCCTGTGGTTAAGAGCTCAAGCCCGAGCAGCTCTTCCAGCAAGAGCTCCAATCTGGCGTACATCAGCTGTCTGGCTTTCAGCGCCTGTAGGGTTTAGGGTGTAGGGCCGGGTCTACTAAGGGACAATAGCAGGGACGCCTAGAAGAGACCTCTAACCCTACTACCCTATATAACCCTTATATTCCCCTTATATAGTGTCATGAAGCCCCTATATATCCCCAAGGGTCCCTTTAAGGGTCTCTCCTTTAGTCAATTGAGTCTAGGGAACAGAAGGTCGCCGGCTACGGATTTAGGGATCTGGTGACCACAGTAGTAGCTTCGATCTTTCATAAGAAAGACCACGACCATACTATAATCAGTACCCTATATATCATCACACTGACGAAGAAACCATAACAGTATTGACTGCGATAAAGATGAGAACAATAATACTAGATGTTTGGGGAGCTTGGGGGATGCCCTGGGGCAAATAGGATTGAACACTAGAGTGCAGAGCCTAAAGCTCAGGGCTCACGTACTTGGGGTTTAGGATAGTTTAGGGTTCTTGTCAGGGGATGACGGGGATGCGTATTTGGGGTTTAGGATGGTTTAAGGTTTTTTGTTGGGGGATGACGGGGATGATGTGTCCGTCTGTGTGTGTGCGCGTGCGTGCGTGCGCATGTATACGTCTGCGTCTGGGTGTGTTTTCTGCTCTAATTCGGATCCCTTTGAAGATCCTGTCGTCAATGGTGGCATACCCCTTTAGGAACGCAGCAAGCGACCTTGACTCAAAAGATTCTTCTTGTGACGGACTGGACCCGGTGATCCCGGGCCCTAAGGAACGAGTCGGTTTCTGCTGTTCGGGCAGGGCACCAAGTAGTGCACAGGGACAGATTCTTTAGACTGTGTTGGGCTCATTGTGTAGATACTTGGACCTCCAGTGCATCAAGGGCCTCAATGAGGCTTGTGGTATTAGGGTTTAGGACTGTGGAGAAGCCCTCGGGCCCCACATCCCGAACTCTGACCTTCGACGGTTTAGGCCAGGAAGGGTCGAGCATCCCTCTGCGACTTTGTAATTAACCTTCGCCCATCACGGTCCACTCGGCGGGATGGGAAAGGCTGCGGGGTTTAGGGTTTGCAGACATCCGTGCATCCTACGTAAACTGCCATTTGCCTGCTCTGTGGTCGTGCTGAAAATCGACGACATCAGCCACTCGTCGTAAGCCTCCGCAGGATCTAGCTGTGCAGTAGTCCTTGTAGAAACCGAGGAAGTATAGTATTACATAGCGACCGTACCAACTTATATTGTGCCTTGCCACTACTGCTCAATATTGTCAAAGTCTCGCTCTTGTAACAAGCCTGAAATTCGTCCGCCATGCAAGAACCAGCCTTCTTGACCTCTACGCACTCTACTCCGAACAATCGCCGTCGCCTCTCGTGGCAGAGTGATTCTCGTCGCTCCGGACTGCACTCTGGCCTCTTTCACGAAACCACCCTGGCAGGAGTCCCAGGAATAATTGAGCACATCGTAGGGTATAAGGCCTAGTTTGTTTAATGAAGCTCTACATAGGTTTAGAGTAATTTAGGGTTCAAAGTTTAGGGACACAGTCTCCGCACCGATGGGCCCTGAGGTGTCCTGGATATCTCGTACCGCATCCTCAAACCTCAGCCTCTGGTGGCCAAACCAGCCCCAAGACGGTCGGGTCACTAAAGCACAACACCGCAAGAAGGAGCACCGACAGAAAATTTGATCGCTGAACTTTCCCCTAGGTAACGGTTAGGCATCATTTCTTCTGGTATCTGGAGGCGTGGGGTTCGTCACACATTTGCAAGTGCCAAAGCAGGATGGTCTTAAATTCTAAAACTCTTAACACCCTTGAAATCTTGAACTCCGCCAACTGAGCCCTGAGCTCTTTGATGAATCTAATCCTGACCTGCCGAATGAAGCCCTCAACTCCCTACTTGAGCCGCACACTCCCTAAAACCCTAAATCCACAAGAAAAACACATGCAGACCCAAAAGCCAGAACATCAATTGCCATCTTCGGCCTGACGACCGTGCAAGCCAGCCAAGAGGTTCGTGCTTCCTGTGACCAAAAAACTCAAGCATTTAGGGTCTCCTTAGAAAGCTCTATAGGGGATCTATCAGGGCCGGCTGAAGGATAGGGTTTGCGGTTTTTGGGGCTTCGAGTGTAGGGTTAAATCAGGAAGTTTCCTTGAGAATATCTGGACGTCTTCACGCAAGAAGGCAGGAAACCTTCAAGAAGTCAGGCAGATGACAATTCGATAATAGCTCTGCTTGGTAAACATGCTTTCGCAAAGGTTCCAAGCAGAGAGACTCTAGACATTACAGAGGCATCCTCGGTATCTGATGCAGGCCGTGCTGAACCAAGAAATCGAGCTCCGGCGAAGGTTCAAAACTTTGCCATCCGAGACTGTACACAACCCAGACCCCACTGCCCGGGTAACTAAACCCTAAACCTCAACTATAAGCCTATGAGTACTGTGTTCGCGGCTTACGGCCGCACTTCCCATTATTCCCTCTGTTCTTGCTCTCGTGGTAAACAAGGTCCTATGGCTGAGTGCGTAGTATAGGGGCCTGGATCATTAGAATAGGTTTTTTGGGTATATTCTACTATAATTATAATAAGGAGCCCGCCAAAATAATATAGGTAATTAACAAGGCCCTATATTAGAACAATAGCAGTTTATAGGTGTTGGGACATATTGGGGTTTCTGGACATTTAAAATCTGAACCTTCCTTGCTGTCCCTGCTGCCCTGATAGCCCTTCAATCAGCTGCAAGTTCCGGCTCTACTTCGAGGCAAAGGCATGATCCACCTTAAGCCCCTTTACCCTAAACCCTCAAGTCTTCTAGTAGCCCTTATAGTAACCCTATTGTATCGAGGTCTAGTAGCCAATTGAAGACTTCAGGGGTTCGGCTCAACTGCTGGCAGCTGAGAGCCAGGTAGGCGTTAGGACTAGGGGGATCCTTGGGGATATAGACCCCCTGTCCCTTGCAAGAGAGCCATAAGTCGGGTTCAATCGGGTCCCCTTTAAGGGGTCTCCCTAGTACTACCTAGGACCAGGAAGTGCAGATCCCACATAAAATCCCACGACCATGTAACGGGTTAGGATTTCGGGATTTCGGCGCTCACTCTGGAATTTCGGGTTCAGGGTTTGGGCATTTAAGACCAAACAAGGGTTCCTACGTTAAGAAACTTTTATGTGAGGTTTGGGGCTGATTAAGTGTTACACTACCCCAAACCCTAAATGCTGTTAAGGCTGGTTAGGGGCTACAGGTTCGGCTCCTACCTGGAAAGTAGAGCCGTGCCGTGGGCTCTTTGATGCGGGAGATGTCCTGGCAACGGTGCAAGAACAGCCGAGTTTGTGGAGTTTATGGATTTGGGGCAAAGGGTTTAGGGTTTAGGGTTTAGGGTTAAGGCTTCATCTAAAGCCTGGTTTTAGGGTTACGAGTTAAGGTTGTAGTAACTAGAGATCTAGGGCCCTCAAAATTACAAGCCCTAGCCCTCATGGCTGATGACGGCAGCCAAACTACTACCACAGGGGGCCTTAAGACTTATCATGGGACTTTGGGATATATGATAGTGGTAAGAAATCCTATAACAAATGCTATTGGTAATTGCTCGGGCTTCTATGCTGGGGCATACAATAGTAGTAAGAAGCCCTAAGGGATACTATTGGCAATAGTTCGGGCTTCCACATTACCTCGGCGCCTTGGTTGGTTGCTGGTTAGTTTACGGAAAGGTTTCATGTACCTCAGAACCGCTACACCCGTTTGGAACCTGAACTCAAACCCTAAACCCATTTATCTCAGAACTTCAAACACTAAACCCTACTGTAAACCCATTTATCTCAGAACTCCAAATACAGCAGTCCCAATCTGCATCGGAGGGTATTCATAGAGCCAAACGCCCCTCAGCAGGCAGTAGAAGTTCGTGCGAAGAACCCCTCCTCTATTGATTCTATCTAGACTTAGAGTTTAAGTGTCTGAGGGTATCTAAACCACCCAACAGCCTAAATCCCAAAAACAACGAAAGTCGAAGGCTCTGATTACTGATGAGGCCGAGAAGGAAAGACCTAGATGAGACAAAAAGTCAGGCGGGCAGGCTGCTCTACCATAGTATGATATAGGTGTCGGGAAATGTTGAGTAGCACACCCTGATAGACAGACCTTTTACAGGGTTTATAAAACCCCCACACAAAGACCCTGTTCTGATTATCAAGGCCCCTAAAGCGCAACTGCTCCATCATGAAGGCTAGTATCTCTGTTGTTATGAATTTAACGGGTGCTGTTTATCATCATGCCTTAAAAAGATTCGGAGAAATTACTGCACATCCGTGGAACCCTTCACGGCCCAGTGGAAGGATCGTGGACAACTTCTTGGAATCAAGAAAGCTCAGAACCCTCAACATTAAACCTAGTTCAAAGGTGTCCTTGAGGCCCAAAGCTTCGCAAAGCCAGGATTTCTTGTGCGACTTGAAGAACATCTGCATGCCTGCATGGCACCAGCTGGCGAAGATTCAGCGCGTCTAAACCATCGCACTCACACCGTCTTTCCGCAAAATCTAAATCCCATGCCACAGTACTGGCAATTTAGTCGCAATAGTCATTGCCGTGATGGCAGTAGTCGTCGTCGCAGTCGTACAGTCGTCGTAGCCGACGTCGTGGTGGTAGTAGTCATCGTCGTCGTCGCCATCGTCGTGGTAGTGGTCGTGGTAGCAGTAGTAGTGGCAGTGGTCGTCGTCGCTGTTGTATCACGACTATGAATAATAAACTTTAGCCAAAGGGCTGGGAGGCCACAAGGGCCGGCAGACCCCAAAATTGGACCGCAGCAATGCTTCGCACAGAGAGCAGACAAAAACCGACTTACACAAATTGACCCGGAGTCCAGCAGACCGACATGTGAGGCAAACAAGGAAACTGTGGGCCAGCGGCCAAACATAGGGCAAATGCGACTCAATTGTGGGGATGTGGGGTCAAGTGTGGGACAAACGTGAATCAAACGCGGAGGTGCGGGGTCGAATTCTTGGGGAGGGCCCTAGCAGGCCCTCCCCAACTTGTCTCCTGCAAACCCCTGTTCATCCCAAGGCATCCCAGCCCAGACACCCCACACCCCGGCTCACCCCACCGCACACCCTGCTCGGAAGCCTGCCTGCATGTGACAAAAGTTTGGGCCACTGTCTGGATGATGTCGAGGTCGTGGTAGTTTCAGTGGTAGTAGCAGTGGCAACAGAAGCAAGCAGCAGCAGCCAAAGTTGTTTTCTGGTCCTGTCCGTGTAAGAAAACTCTGTTGATAGGTTTGGGTGCAGCTACGTGCCACCACAGTCTGGCGCTGCCGCCACTAATTCCACGACGACGACGACGACGATGACGGCGGCGATGGCGACGACTACTACTACACCTGCTGCACGCACTACAACTCAGATGTCATTAAGTAGCACTGTCTCATTAGGACCAAACATGCCTTCGGTCTGTCCGGCCTTTAATGCCAAGATCTCCACGGCCAAATTGGTATTGCGCACCATCTGTGAGGACCTGCGCAGGTGCAAAGTGCAGAATTCATCGCCGAGCAATTCGGCATCCTGCCTTTCTGGCAGACTGGCTATTGTGAGACGGAGTTCATTGGTGGACGCTGCAGGTTGAAGGCCTGTCCTTCTCGTCCTAACTTCACCGATAGCCGCAAAAAGCTTTTTCATGACCACTCACACGTTCGTTTGCGGTTGTGAATGTACGCGATGGAGGCAATAGTGGGCATGTGGAGCGAGAAGCTCATGCATCTCGTAAGGCCATCTGGCCAGGATATGGAAAGGATCACACGTATGAGCGCGAATACTCCTACAAAACCCTAGAATGGAAAGGGCCGAAGCCGCTTTCCGTTTGGGAGAAATCGGATTGGATTAGACATGTGGCTAACCTCCATTAGGGTTTGCCTCGGATCCTTGACATCTTGAGCCTTACAAGACTACGGTTTAAGGTTTACGGACCGCCTATAAGACCCACACGCCACACACGAATTGAGGCATCGGAATTTGAAAGCTCTCAAACCTGAAATACCAAGAATTGAAAAGACTGATGATAACAATAGTTAATAACGACAGAAATACGTCGATGTACCTGTGCGTGCCTGTGTATGTATATATATATATACATATATATATATATACATATATTTATTTATTTATTTATAACTTTTATACATTTATACATACATACGGTTACATACGTACATACATGCTTGCAGACAAGGTCCCTGCAAGACCAGCATGCAACTCTTTACCATGCCGCCAAAACACTACCCCAAAACCCGTAACCCCTGACCCTAAACCCTTCATCCCAGACCCTGAACCCCAACACTCTTAAGCCCTAAACTCTTCATCCCCAGGCCTTGAACCCCGAACTCTTGCATCCCCAAATCTAAACCCCCAAAGCCCTCTCTGCCTGGGGATCGCTGAGCACCCAGGAGCGATTCTCATCTTTGCCTCCTCGGGCCTTCCTGGCAGGAAACCCCTAAACAGAGGGGTTTAGGGTTTTTTTTCTTCACCTTTTTTCCACCTTGTTGTACTACAGAGAGGGGTTTATAGAGTTTAGGGTCTAGGGTTGGGGGTTTCGACTGTCACACTCGCACTCGGCAGGCAAGGCTCCGCTTCCAATCGCAGTGACTGAAGGCGTGCCCTAGCAACAACCCCAAAACCGCCTAAAGACACTGAACCACCCGATACATGCACAAAGGTCTCTGCCCCTACACTACCATCCATCAAACAAGGACTGAGACATTGCTCAATACATTCCAAGCTGTTTCCAGGCGCACACGTCCACAACAACCGTAGGCACCAACAAGCATGCATACTGTAGGGGCCTAATAATTAGAATAGGGTTTTGGGGCCCATTATACTAAGGAACCCCCAAAATAATATAGGCAATTATTGAGGCCCCTATATTACGTAACACAACAAATCGACCACTCACCTGCGGCAGCAGTGAAACGTGCCATGGGTTTAGGGTCAAGATACGTTTTGTCGGTAGCGGTTTCGGGGTTTAGAGGCCGATGATTTAATTTACAGGTTAGGGCGGTTAGGGGCTTATGCTGTCAGGCGCTTGGAGGCCTATCATTTACAGGCTGGTTAGAGGACTTAAGTTCTATGACTTGGAGGCTTATGGCCTACCGCAGACAGGGCTTGGGGGCCTGGAGTTGTGCCGTAGGCGGGTGCGTCATTCGAAGATAAAGTTTCTAAGTTGTAGTTCTGGGCCCCCCGATATACTCCTGAATAGCTACCGGTATAAGAGCATACTGAATTAACAATCCCTGGTCGCTTGTCCATCTGAGACAAGCGATTCTCCCAGTCGTTGTTGCTCAAGTTGCTGATGCAATCTTTCATGGGCTTCTTGCTCGCAAGCACTCTCGCTCTTGCTCTTCGGCTTCTTCTTTCTTTCATGTGCATCATCCCGCTCACGAGACGAGGCAACACTGAGAGGGAGTTGGAAAGTTCAACGCCATCGGGCTTAGGCTTTGGAAGGGGGGCTTGGTGACTTTGATGTTTGGGAATTGTTTTGTTTTTTCCCAGGTTTATCTTTTATGTTTTGTGCAGGAAGCTGCCGTTTTAGTAGACGGCGCAGGGATCTGCTGATCGTTGCCCGGAGTCATGCTTCGTGCTCGACCTAGACCCCGACAAATTCCTCTTTTCTGTAAGCCCTACATGCTAGAATCTGCTAGAACCCCAAACCCAGAATTACGGGAAAGTCCCCTACCCTACTGTACTGTGACATACTCTCCTTTAATGACGGGTGGCCTCCCTTCTCGGCCGTCGTCTCGGTGGCCCGCACAGACACCCTGAATGTCAGAGACCAAGAGCGCACCTGACCGGCTCTGGGTTGAAGGGCCGGACGAATTCTAGGACTTAAAGCCCTACATAGCCTGACTTCGAGCTTCGAGCTACCAGGGTCTTGAAATGCTGTTTAGGGGCTTTCGTCGGCTTGTAAGGGGCTGGTACTCTACCATAGCCCTTCTCCGCGACGGTAGTCGCGTTCATCTATGAATCTCTACCTACGACTGAGGCTCCTATACTCGGCTTCCCCTGGAAATTCCCGACACCGAAGTTCGAAGCTCATCCTGAAGGTTTTGCCGCGTGCATCGCACCAAGAACCCTAAGACATGTGCGGCAAGTCGGCCATTGCTCCAGTGGAAGGTGTAGTGGGAGAAGGCAGACCCGATGATGGCATGGCCGCCGTACCTGCCGATGTTGCCTTTTCTTGTAGTAGAACAGTTCCAAGGTTCACTCTCCACAATCCGGGCCGAAACTGAGGAATGAGATAAGATGTCGGCTCTTGGAGGTTGTGTCTGTAAATGTATGTCCGTCTGTCTGCATGTCTGTATGTCTGTATGTCTATATGTCTGTATGTCTGTATGTATGTCTATATGTATATATACACACATAAATACATACATACTGCCCATTGTTTGCCATGGCCCAGCTACGATCTTTCCCAGATTGCGGATATATGCGGATATCTGGTATCCTATTAAGGGTAAGCGGCACCAACGGCTCGCGCAATGCGCTTTCGGCTACGAGGCTCTCCCTCCTTCCATCCGTATAACCAAGCCACCGAAAACCGTCAAGCCTTGCGGACCGAATACAAAAGCTTCAGGGGCCTACGCAAACCTTTCCATTTAGAATACTTCATGTAAACACTAGTAAACACACCCCTGAGCAAATGACTCCCTAAGTGTCAGAAAACCCCATAAACATGAACTAACGACCATATATGTAACCCTAAATCGTAAGAGTTTAGGGTTTGGGTCTATTTTTGTTGGGGCACGGGCGGTTTAGGTTGTGGGCTAATGGCTAACGCCCATCCACACATGAATAGTCTGCCGACAAACATGGGCCACGAACCAGTGCCTCCTCCAGACTTCATACCTAACTAGGCTACCTTTTGACAAGGCTTTGCTCGGAAATAACTGCAACCATCTATATGGAGCATCTCTGGGCAGTAGACAGAAGATCCGTTCGAGGTGGCGACTTGGGAAATAGTGGGTATCGGAAGCCCTTGTTGGACTGTCTTGCAAAAGTCACGCCAGGAGCCAAAAGCCTAAACCTTATAAAGCCCAAACCCTGAACTCTGAACCTTTTTCGCCCTATTGTAAACCTCCCAAGTGCGTGATCTCTATGCAAGCGGCTTCAACCCCGAGCTACGCCATCGTCCCTCTAACTCTCGTGCCCCCCTGTTCTCTCTCTCTCTCTCTCTCTCTCTCGCTCGCTCGCTCTCTATCTGTATCTCTCTCTCTGTCTCTCTCGCCTTCTCCTTCGCCCTGCTGCCCATCTATACCAACGTCTTCAAACAGTGTGTATGCCATATCACTTCATCGAATGGCAACGCATAGGATTACCAAGCATTTCACAGCATAGCATAGCATGCCATGGCATAGCATACAATATCATATCATAGCATTCGCAAAACATACCATACCATAAACATCTACGTACTATGGCTTGTTAAGCTTTCCTGCAACCGGAAAATCCACCGCCCTGCTCGCGAAAAACCCGTTGGCGTACTCTTCGCGGTTCACGAAGCCGGCGTTGGAGGTGAGCCTGGGTTCACTCACTTTCGAAGCCCAAAATCAAAGGTCCACGGTTGGGATGTTTAGCATTTAAATTTCTGCTCTTTCGTGGGTTTGAGACCTCATAACAATGTCAAATGCTACTCAACTATGACAAAAAGAAGCTGTTTGTGGGTTTGAGGATTCCAAGGCCCTAGCCGTCGAAGGGTTCAGGTTCAAAGGCGTTTTTAAGGTCTTCTCCCAGATGCAGATTCATGTTTCCTGGGCCATGTGCACTTGGTGGATTGAGAATTGAACTTCGACGGCACTTACTGGTGATATTCCAACATTCGTCTGTAAGGAGTCGGGAGGTGAAAGGCCTTGAAAGCTAGGTTCGGGGGTGAAACCTGGAGGAGTTGCGGGCCTACAACCGTAAACCTTAAACCCTACCGTTGAACCACTCGACTCCACGTTCCGAGCCCTGTCAACTCAAAGACGGGCTTATGCACTTTGCACCCAAAGGTGCTGTCAAGTGGACTTGCTCTTTCGGAAAAGCCTGATAAACCTGATCGCCGTCTAAACCTGCTGGGTGAAAGTGTCTCGTTCCTCTACAGCAAAACTGATCGGCTACAGGGCTCTGAAACCCGAAAACACTGGCTGGCGCAAACATAATGCCGACGGAGCAGCTTGACAAACTCACCGCTGACAAATTCTTCCCCACCTTAGCCACTCTTCAAGGTCTGGGGTTTTCTGGAGGCTAGTAAGTTAGTCAATTTTTTCTTATGGTATCTTAAAACTACATCATATTCTCTTATAATTATCATACTACATTATCTTATACTGTGTTGGACGAGATGATTTTTGGAGTGGGGCTGACACCAATGTTTCTAGCCGGGGCAACTGGAGTCCGACTCTTCGGGTCCCCGAGCCAAGCGATCGATTCCCCAACGCCGCGGAAAGGTTCCGGAACTAAAGGTCCCGAAACACAATATCATCCCATGTGTGAAACCGGCCTCAATAGACTTGGGTTTTAGGTTTCCGGTGTTGTAGAGTACGGTGATAAAAGGGTATCTTGCCCAGTATTCCGGCCCCTGTGCTACATTACTTCCCACATCCCAAGTTTATTTTCGGAATTCGGGGATCGACGCTGACCTGCACCTGGCACCACAATCTCTGATCCCTGACGCCCCACCAATCCGTAAGCCCACTGCCCCACACCCCGAACCCACGACCCCCGAATCCTTACGCCCGGGCCCGGAAGTAAGCCAGAAGGCCTGTTGGCCCTATTCCGCTCGCACAGAACCAAAACCGGCAACCTCCCTCCCCAAGCCCTGGCGGCCCTAACAGTGGCTTCTGAGTCGGCATCCTGCACTATATTCACTCATGTGCTCCTTAGCCCCAAACACGAAGCCCAAGGCGTTAAAAGGCATTTTTTATGCGCCAAATCCTCGACTCGACCCCAATACGGCTCTGGCTCAACCAATCCGAAGCTTGCGGCTCCTGGCGTGGTCAATGTTAAGCTTGTTCGCTCGTTTCACCTCGATGTTTCGAGATGCCAAACGGCGAAGCAGCGCATCGTAGTCGTTCGGTGCCCAGCCAGCAGTGCATTCTACGAGATGCAACACTTGCTTTGGACCGAGGCACGATGGACATCCGTGAAGCTCGTGTCTGAAACGTTGGTACCGTCCCATTGTCATGTACCTTGCAGGTCGATTTTGCGATCGTGGAAGTTTGCATGGCTCGCGTCAGTCACGACTACGGTACGACCCTCGGTCCGCAGCATTGGCCTGGCTGTTTCGAAGATATCGGAACATCACTCGCGGATCGCGAGCAAGCTCCGAATCAGTACCGACGAAACTCGGGCCAAGGAATCGACATCCTTTGTACGGATATCTTTTACGCAGTTTCGGAGCTGTACATAGGATCCGTACACGAAATCTTTCAGGTCGATCGACCGCTCGTCGATCAACCTCATCGCTCGTGCGTTGGAATTGGCGTTCACCACGTATACTTCCAGTATTGTGGTTCCACCGGAACCTACGCATACGTACAAACTTCGTCCTTTCTGCCTTCACGCGTTCGAGTAAACTCGCCAAGGTACGGTCGGCTTCGTTCATTAGCTTTCATCGTGGATCAACGATCACAGTTGGATCAAGTTCGTTCACGGCACGCTCTCCAAAGCCATATTGCACGATCTTGCCCTTCCACGCTTTAAGCACGACCGCAAATTTGCGGTCTCACGTGCTTCTTCGCGTGTCTCGATACGAGGCAGGTTCGTGATGTTCAAGATTGCACACTTGTCGATCCTGCCGGCGTCGGCGTAGCGGCTCAAGGTGCGATCCACCGTTGCGATGTAAGTCGCTGCGGCACGTGCTTCCATTGCGAACTCCGTGCCCAGAGCGATATCCTCGATGTCGGTCACCTGGGTTTCCCTCTCCCAGGACTGGCTGAGCTCGAACATCTTGGTTGCCTCGTGACTGGTCACTGTCGATTATGCGATAAAATAGAAAGTACGAGAATAGCCGGTTCCGATAGATCGAGATACCACAGACTGCTCGAGCCAAAATGGCTACGGGTCTGGGTTTAGGGTTCAGGCCATAAGCTTGGGCCCCTTAGTTCTAAACGCCTGGGGTCTGCAGATCCTCATCCATGTGTTCCATGCCCCTCAAACAACCAACGGATGAAAACAGGGATTCAGAATAATCATTGCTGAGTTAATGAGTTAATGTCAGAATTTATGGGGCTATGAAGGGAGTAGGATTTCCAGTGTAAGTATATATATATATATACAATCTTATATATGACCTGTGCGATCATATGATAGAACAATACGTCTTATGAATAGTAATAACAATAACAGCCGTAACTGTTATCTTTATTCTTGTGATGATTGCGATTATGAATATTATTCTTGTTATTATATTATTATTATTGAGAATATTATCATATTTTCAAGTATTAGTATTTAGTATTAGAAGTAGTAGTTGGTACTAGACTTAATTTCGTACCAGTATTAGTCCATGCACTTGTCTTACTCCTCAACTATTCCTTTGGGTTTAGGCTTTCGGGATTAGGGATTACATTCCCTAAACCCTAAACCCTCAATTACACTCTATAGACTCTACACCCTAAGCCCTGAACCCTAAA